GCGGGAGAAGGAGCTAGGGTTTAGGGGTTTAGGGTTTAGGGTTTAGGGGTTTAGGGTTTAGGGTTTAGGGGTTTAGGGTTTAGGGGTTTAGGGCTTAGGGTTTAGGGTTTAGGGTTTAGGGGTCTAGGACATTTTCAGGTGGGTAGTTACCGTTATAGGAGCCTTATAGAAGGTCTATATACACCTTATGGAAGCCTTATAGAAGCCCTATATACCCTAAACTCCCCACCTGTAGTTTCCTTTTAGCCTTCGACCACCTGGGTTTACGGTTTGGGGTTCTGCGAGTGGGGTTTAGGGTAAGGTAGGTTCACCCTAAACCCTAAACCCTAAACCCTAAACCCTAAACCCTAATCGATTGGGGCTTGGGTTGGGACATTTGGGGTTTAAGCTTTGGGGCTTTGGGTTTCGGATTTGGGAGTCGGTATGTTCAGTGTGAGATGTTTGGGTTCAGTTTCAGGTTTAGGGTTCAGGGTTTAGGGTTTAGGGTTTAGGGTTTATGGTTTAGGGTTTAGGGTTTAGATTTTAGGGTTCAGGATTTGGCATTTCACGTTCAGGGTTCCTGTAAGCGCTTGTTTTAAACTAGTGCGGTTATAAACCCTAAACCCTGAAACCCCGAACCCCAAACCGTGTGGTTTCTTCGGTGTAGGGGTTTGGGGTTCAAGCTTCTGGGTTCGGTGTGTCGGAGCTTTTTTAGGCTCTCGGGGTTTAGGGTTTCAGAATTTAGGGCTTTAGGGCTTAGGCTCAGGGCTTAAGGTTTAGGGCTTTAAGGTTTAGGGTTTTGGGTTTTTGGTGTAAGGTGTGAGGTTTGTGGCTCAGCTTCGTCGGCACCCCATCAAACTCGACATGGTCTTTGCGAAGCAGAAACTGACCCAAGAGTAGGCCAAGTTTAGGGTTTAGGGTGCCCGAACCCTGAACCTCATCGTTTACTTAGTTCCCTAATACCCGACCTTGAAACTTTTTGGGTTCTTATTATTTACTAGTAATCTGAAAGTTTAACCTTTCATTTCCCTGGCTTATTGGGAAGTAAGACTAAGCCCCGAACCCTGAACCTCACCGTTTATGGTTTGGGGATTAGGGGCGAGGGGGCGAGGGTCTTTCGGTTTAGGGGTGTAGGGATGAAGGTGTAGGTTTAGGGTTAGGGTTTAGGGTTTAGGGTTTAGGGTTTAGGGTTTAGGGTTTAGGGTTTAGGGTTTCCAACAACGACAATGGCCCAAACCCCTACAAAAAGGAGAAGAGTTCCGACCCGAACTCACTCGGTGCTGCCGCCGGCAAGTCGCAGAGGTTCTTGGCTGCTTGAGTTTTCAGGTTATTATCGGGTTGCTTTGTAAAGGATTCTGACTCTGACTCTGCTTCAGGGTTTAGGGTTTAGGGTTTAAGGTTTAGGGTGGACTTCGTACTCCCTGATCAACTGCGCATGGAACTCTTACCAAAACCATTAAACTTCAAACCGCAAACCCACAGGCCCAAACCCTAAACCCTAAACCCTAAACCCTAAACCCTAAACCCACAGCCCCAAACCCTAAAACCCCACACCCTTAGTCAAGGGCACCCTAAACCCTAAACCCTAAACCCTAAACCCTAAACCCTAAACCCTAAACCCTAAACCCTTAGTCAAGGGCATATTATTGGAGTCTCTGGACCGCCCACTGACTTCTCACGGCCTCGGTTGAGTGTTGAGAGGAGTTTACAGGGACTTTAGGTTTTCTGAGGAGGGTTTAGGGTTTAGGGTTTAGGGTTTAGGGTTTAGGGTTTAGGGTTTGGCGCTCAAGCCACTAAACCTGAAACCGCCATTTGACCTGTCAGAAGTCGCGAAAAGTCGTTGCTTAGGCGACCCTAAACCAAAACTCGAAACCTTAAGCCCTAGACCCTAAACCCTAAGACCCATAAAGTCCGTTAGTTGCAGAGAGGCACTAAAAGCAAACACCCTCATTGCAGAGGCACGCCGGGGATGGCATGCCATCCTCCTCAGGCGTGGTATGGTCTGACAGGGGTTGAGGGTTCAGGGTTCAGGGTTTAGGGTTTAGGGTTTAGGTTATAGTGGTTTGTTGCTTTAGTTTGTCGGGCTTCGGGCAATTCTGCAAGCTATGGTTTAAGGGGTCTAAGGTTCAGGCGTTTGGGTTTCTGACGGTCTTCGTTTACTGGGCTGTTGAGAGGGGGTTTGTTGCTTGTTTCAGAGGATTTCACCAGGTTCCATAGATTGTTCATAAAGCTCTCTACGAGTATGAAATGAAGAGTATAGAAGGACGTGCTGCTAGGTCCCCATTGTAGCGACTCAACTAGATTTCGGGACAAGAGTCTTCGGGCGTTTTAGGTTTGAGGGCTTTGTGTTTTTGGGCGTTGAGGTTCAGGGTTTTGGGTTTCAGGAGTCGGATTTTTGCTGAGGAGTACCTTGGCCGTTCTTGAATATGCTTTTTTTGGTATAGACCCTAAACCCTGAACCCTGAACCCTGAACCCTAAACCCTGAACCCTGAACCCTGAACCCTAAACCCCTAAACCGTGGGTGCGCGAGTTGCAACTTCAACTGGCATCCTCGAGCTGCTGCTTTTTCTTTCAAACCTATGTTTTTTGCTTAGGGTCCCCTAAACCCTAAACCCCACCACGTTTGCTGAGGTTGATGGTCGGGGATTTGTTAGTTTTGCGATTGAGGTCGTTGCTATATAGAGCTCAATGCTTCAGGGGATTAGCTGCTAGCTTGTCTGTAGGAGAGTTTATGGTAAGTTTCATTAGGTGTGCTACCTCCGGCTATTGTTGGGGCTCTTGTATCGCATGTAGCGATTTCCCCTCGCATGTGAAGCCGGTGGTGGTTGTACTATCGAAAGCATTCTCTGGAGCACAACAAGATCCTAAACCCTAAACCCTAAACCCTAAACCCTAAACCCTAAACCCTAACAAGACTAGTTTGCTTTTTTTTTGACTGCTGAGCTGCCCTTTTTGAGGCCCTGTGCAAGCCCTCGAAGCCCCGCCGGCAGCTCCAGATGCCGTGCATCCGGCAGCCAAGGAAGTCTTGGCGCACCTCGGATTTAGTCTAAGGTTAGACGTATGGGCCCCTAACATGGACCCTTAGGCCTTTCTAGGGACCCTTCAGGGTACATAGAGGGTATGTAGTAGGTATATAAGGATCCATCGCTTAAGGGCCCATACTAGGGGCTAGGCATGAGGTTACAGTAAGGGTTGTAGGGCTTACGTCGGGGGACTTATCTTAGTCTTATAGACTCATAAGTATCATAACCCCAATTTTGGTTCCTTTTAGGGTACCTATAACTCTACTTAATATCTACTTACTAAGTCCCCCGACCCTGCAAATAGGATGAGGGTGCGTCCTTAGGCGTTATAGAGACGTCGCGCAGGCTTGCTTATGCTTTTCATAGGAATTTCTAGGATTCACTGGTAAGTCTTCAGAATTAGTCACCACTCTGACGATTTCTAAACTCCTACCGCTTACAGCCCCCAACACCTGAACTCCTGAACCCCAAACGCCCTACGCATGTAAATTCTGAACCAGCCACTCTGCCCCCCCCAGATCCAACCACGCCCTTGCCTTTAATACCCATGCACTGATTAACTTACTTGGAGGGTCGGGAGACTTAGTAAGTAGATATCAAGTAGAGTTATAAGTACCCTAAAAAGGATCCTAAGTGGGGTTATAGTACTTATAAGTCTCTTAAATAACTAGTTCCTACGTCCCCCGACCCTCCAAGTAAAGCCCCAAATCCTTAAACCCTAGTGACCGTTATAGGAGCCTTATAGCAGGTCTATATACCTTATAGAAGCCTTATAGAGCTCTATATACCCTAAACTCCCCACCTGTAGTTTCCTTTAACTGATTAACTTAGTTCCCCAATACCCGACCTTCAAACTAATGGGTCGCTGGGGACCGTGCTCATGACCCGACGTGCTTTAAACTTTTTTGGGTTTAGGGTTTAGGGTTTAGGGTGGCCCGACGTGCTTTAAGCTTTTCTGGGTTTAGGGTTTAGGGTTTAGGGTGTAGGGTGACCCGACGTGCTTTAAACTTTTCTGGGTTCTTATAATATAGGTTGAATACCAAAAACCTACCTTGTTTCAGGGTCCCTATAAACTCCATACTAGGGTTCATAATAAGAGCCTCCAGAAAAGTAGGTTGTGGTAGGTTACTTGGAGGGTCGGGGCACTGAGTAAGTAGTTATTAAGTAAGTTATAGGTACTCTAACAGGGACCCTAAGTGGGGTTTACTTATAAGTCTATAAAATAACTAGTTACTAAGTCCCCCGACCCTCCAAGTAATGTAGTGTTATACTTATTAAGAATCTGGAAGTTAAACCCTTTATTTCCCTGGCTGATTGGGTGGGAGTTTCCGAAAATAGGGGACCCTAATATAGTACCCTAAATAATAGGATCCCTATTATAAGGACCCCAAAATAAGGTACCCCTCATTTTCTGAAACTCCCAGGTAAGTTCATCTCTAGCGCTGAACTGGAAACCGAACCCTAACCTCTAAACCTAAAAAACCCAGACTTGACTTCGGGGTGCCCAGAAATAACTCTTCATTTTTGGGTTTCTATAATCCCTAGGAAACAGGTACAATCATAATTTCTGCAAGGGTCCCAAGTTCAGCATAGTTACCTGTAACGGAACACCCTACAAAATAGTAGGTTATGACCCCTGAAAAGAAAGGGTAGAACCCTACAGCGGTAGGTTTTGGGACCTAAACCCTAAAACCTTAAACCCTAAAGCCCTAAAGCCCTAAAGCCCTAAGCCCTTACAGCTCAGGTCTGTTGGCCACCTGCAGCACTTGGCGGAAGAGCTGCAAGGGCTCCTTTCCGCAGCTGAGCGCGCGGAGCTTCGGCGGTTTAGGGCTTCGGGTTTAGAGTTTAGGGTTTTGAGCAAGTCTGGCAATGCAGACAGGCTGGTCTACTACATAGCAACAACGAAGGATAATGCATGCATAAATTTATAGATATATACATATGTATGTATGTATGCATGTATGTTTGTATGTTTGTATGTACGTATGTATGTATGTATGTATGTATGTATGTATGTATGTATGTATGTATGGATGTATGTATGTATGTTTGCATGTATGTATGTATGTATGTATGTATGTATGTATGTATGTATGTATGTAGGTAAGTATATGTGTGTGTATATATGCATGTATGCATGTATGCATGTATGCATGTATGCATGCATATATGTATATGTATATGTGTATGTATCTGTATATGTATGTATGTATGCATGTATGTATGCGTGCATGTGTATGTGTATATATATATATATAGATGCATGTGCATATCGTGTCAGATGTGTGTATATATATATATATAAAGAGAGAGAGAGAGAGAGAGTTGCAGTTGAATATAAGTACACACATACATGTGTATTTACAGTTGCCTATACATGTGTACATATACATCTTCGACATACTCATATACATATAAACATACATGTATGCGCACTTGATCTGTGTATGCTAAGTTATACTTTCCATTCGATTTAGTTGTTCATGTTTTACATCTGAGGTCGAGCCTATTATTGTTTTTGCTTGTTCTTAGTTGTCAGGTTCTTGGATTGCAGGTTTCGGGCTACAGAGTTTTGTTGTATAGTCGGCAATATAGGGGTTGCGGGGTTTGGATGTCCGATGTTGGCTGATCGTTCGTGATGTTGTTGAACTTCCGTTTATGATTATGATGACTATTACATGGCTTTCGCTGACTTGCCCTAAACCCTAAACCCTAAACCCAAACCCCTAAGCCCTAAACCCTAAACGTTCCGAGGACCGCCTTGTTCGGGGTTTGCGCAAGACTCCGCAGCTTGGACTTTGGGTGGCCGGGGTTTCAGAGCAAACTTGGGGTTTTAGCCAGGGTTCTTTTAAAAGGGTCCTTAAAGGGATCTATAGGGTTCCTTAAAGAGGTGTAGGGTTTAGGGTTTAGGGTTAGTTCCCCAATACCCAACCTTTGAACTTTTTTGGGTTCTTGTTTTTTAGTAGTAGTCTGAAAGTTTAATCTTTTGTTTCCCTGGCTTATTGGGTTTAGGGTTTAGGGTGAGTTTCTTCGGGTTTTAGCGTTAGAGTGGGTTCCCTTGCAATTGGTCATGGACGTGGATTCTCGGATGTTTTGGTTTTTGTGCCACGATAAGGTTGAACAGCGGAAAGCATAGCGCCTTGCCCTAAACCCGAAACCCTAAAGAAGGCGTGCCGGGCTTGATTGTACAGCTTCTGCAAGATTCTATGCTGGGGTTCACCCTAAACCCTAAACCCTCAACCCTAAACCCTAAACCCTCAACCCTCAACCCTAAACCCTAAACCCTAAACTGGTGGCCAGAGAAGAAGCGGGGACGCAGTCTCAAGAATGTTGCAAATTCTGTGCTGTCTCGTTCCTTTCTAGGGCCCTAGGGCCCTATTCATAACTTGGTCCATCTTCGACCCTAAACCCTATGTAGTAACGTAGTTAGCCAATAGGGGAACTTTAAACTTTTTGGCCTTATATATTTGGTCTATCCTAAAAAGTTTGAACTTTTTTGGGCCTGGTTGTTGAAGAAGAGAGATTATTGTCTATGAACCTTAAACCCTTTTAGGGCTCTTTTCCTCCTTAAGGAAACCCTAAACCCTAAACCCTAAACCCTAAGGGTGTTGGTTGCGACGACAGACGTGAGTAATATCCACCAAAAGTATGAAGCCCCCTAAACCCTGCACCGCAAACCCGAAAACGGTCGGTATAATAAACGCTAAACCCTGAACCCCAAAAGGTCCCTTTGCCTTAAGGACGAAAACAACCTTACACGTAGGGGGCCCTGTACCCTTATACTATGAATCCCTGTATGCTGTATGACCCCTAAACCCTTTTAGGGCTCTTTTCGTCCTTAAACCCCTAAACCCTAAACTCTAAACTCTAACCCCTAAACCCTAAACCCTAAACGGTCCCTTTAAGGCCCCAGAGCACAGGCCTGCTGATGGCGTGGAGGCGCTCACCTCTGCGCAGGAAGCCGGCGAGACGCTACTCTCCGTGAGACGCTCGCCGAGAACCTGCCGGGGGACGGCTTGGGGTTTAGGGTTTAGGGTTTAGGGTTTAGGGTTTAGGTAGTTTTTTTTTTTGGGGGGGGGAGGGGTGGTTTTGGGGTTTAGGGATCAAGAATATAGGGTCCTTAAAACTATTCCGGGAGGTCCCTGTTCTATTTTTATTAGTACAGTGGACCCCAAACCGTATTCTAATTATTAAGGCCCCTACATTACCCAGAGATCCCGATCGGGGTTTCGGGTTTAGGGTTCATGGTTCAGGGTTCCAGGGTTTAGGGTTTAGGCTTCCAGGGTTCAGGGTTTACGAGTTCTGAGGGTCAATATAGCTTAGCTCCCCGCTACGCAACCTTTACACTTTATGGGTTTCTTATAGTTTTGTAGTAATCTGAAAGTTCAGCCTTTGATTTCCGTGGCTTCTGGGGAAAGTAAGTAAACCCAGAGATCCCAATCGGGGTTTAGGGCTTGGGTGTTTGAGGTTTAGGGTTTAGTTTAGCGTTCAGGGCTTACCTGTGACCCCAAACCCTACAAAATAGTAGGTTATGACCCCTTAATTACCGCAGAGAGCCCAATACCCCTTAGTTGACCCTAAGGGTCCATGTACACCAATACTTGGAGGGTCGGGGGACTTAG